AGCGCCCGGCGGCACTGCTGCAGGCAGGTGGGAGTAGGAGCAGGCAGGAGCAGGCAGGGCTGAAGTCGCCTCCTTTTCTCGGTGTATTTGGTCCCCTGGGAGCCGATGCCCGGCGCCCGTCCATTTTCGGCGCTCCCCAAAGCACCCTCCTCACTTTACCTGTGCTGTGGAACAGTGTCGTGGTGACCGGCAACTCATTCGTAAAAGAAATGTATATTTTTTAAGAAAAGAGATGAAATAATTTTTAAAAAGAGTTTAGGGAAAACAAAGTCTTTCGGAAAGACTCAAAATTATTCTGCGCGTCTCCTCCTGCTTTAGGTAGCTTTTAGGTCTTGGCTGGACACAGGGATCCGGCCAGGAGAGCCATCCGGAGAGCGAGAGTTTGCTCTTACTCCACCCTCGTCTTGTAAGGATAATTTTCTATTTTTATATTGAAGCATTAATTACTTGTTAGCTCAGGGTCAGCGTTATATTCAACTTTATTTTCACACCAAATCTCTGCAAAGCTATAAAGATGGAGTATTCTTGGCTGGTATAAACAATCCTGGAGGCTTAATTTTACTAGAAGTAGCCAGTTATTTATTAAAACATGATGTTAGTAGAGTTAGGGATATTCTGGCTAGATTATTTTTCTTTAGAAAATAAATCATGGAACCATAAAATTGAAGAAGTTATAAATTTATGTGTGGGAAAAAATGGATTGTAAATAGCTAAGTTGCCTTGCGAGGAATTGGAAAATGTGCTGATACTTAGAAACTACCTCAGTTCTGAGGAATTTCCTTTCTAGCTTTGAGTGCTATTACATTTACTTGGTAGAAGTGAATCTGGTCTCCAATATGTAGCTGAAAGAGTTATCCCTATAGACCTTGTTAGATTGTTTTTAATTTAGAGGGTTGAACTACATCCAGCTGTTTTCTTTCAGCTAAGTTCCCTAACAAAGAGAATTTCTGAATTAAATATTGCTGATGGTTTCCATGACTTTTCCTGATTTGTTTGGTTTCGTGGCATTTTCTGATTGCCCTTTAATTATTTAAACGGTTCGAGCCATTTGAATTTTAAGCCCGAAATAAACAAACCTTAGATGCACTACCATTGTAAATACATCGCAGTAAGGTCTGACTGGATAACCCTTCTGGCTTATACCCAGCTGGCAGGCCGGCAAAGTTAAGTGAAGAAAGAGAAAAGAAAAAAAAAAAAAATAATCAAGAATTAACCTTCTTCAGAGCTCAGAGAAGGGTGGAACAAAAGCCCTTGTGTTCCGAGGGGCTGACTTCTCCAACATCTCCCTTCTCGGCGTGTTCGCATGTAAGAAAGTTGCTTGTAAATTCTCCTGCTTTTAAACATTTCTGCTCAGAAAAAAAAAAAAAAACAACCCACAAACGTTTCTGAACTTCTATTTATCATTTTACATCTAATTGCTCACTAATTATTCTTCCTTAGTTTGGTACAAGCCACCAACGCAAGGACCTGCCGTGAGTATTAAACGTGTCCAGTTGACTTTGTTAATAGCGCAACGATCCTCTGCTATATAAAGGACAGCTTTGTCACCTGGGGCTACGGGAAACAAGAGTAAACGTCAATGTAGGATGATCAAAAGTTGTGTTCCTGCTTTTATTTTCTGTTTGTGTGTGAAATTGGCTCTCTGACATGAGCTTGTAAACTAAACCATACGGGTCGGGACGAGGCGTGCTGCTGGCTTGTGCTCCCTTCCTTCAAGTATTTCTTTTTTTATTTCCTTTTTTGTTTGTTTGTTTTTCACATAACCGTTACTATTATGACCGTGATTTAAAGAAAAATTCCCATACATAAAATTAATACTTAATGGAATGGGTAACGAGCTTCAAATGCAAAATGAACCAGAGAGGTGGTGTTCTTGGTGGCGTGTGAGGTGCTGTCTCCCAAAGAGTTGGAAGAAAAAAAAATAAAAAAAATCCAGCCCTTGAAAGGACCTGCTTGAAGAGCTCTGTGCCTCCCCCGACGTCCGCACAGCTCCCCGCTGCGGCGGCTGCCCGGGCGGACACGGGTTCCTCCGCGCACCCGCCTCCCTGTTTGTGCTTCTCATAGCGGTGATGGAGGGAAAGGAGAGCAAATAATGGGACTCTCGTAGTCGGAGTCTCTCGTTTTGGGCTGTGGTGGGTGATGTGGCCTTAAGGTGGGACAAATGACCAGCAAGAGGAGTCCTCCTGCACCCCCAGGGCAGGGTCCTGCTCCTGCCCCCCAGCCTGAGCCAGCCTGGCCTTTGTCCTCCTGGGCACCTTGGGGAATTAATTCTGGAAGGTGCAACCTCTCAGTGTCACAGAATCACAGAATGGTTTGGGTTGGAAGGGACCTTGAAGATCCCCCAGTTCCACCCCTCCCCTGGGCAGGGCCACCTCCCCCCAGCCCAGGTTGCCCCAAGCCCCGTCCAACCTGGCCTTGAACACCTCCAGGGATGGGGCAGCCACAGCTTCTCGGGGCAACCTGCCCCAGGGGATCACCACCCGCACAGGGAACAGTTTCCTCCTAATATCTCATCTAAATCTCTCCTCTTCCAGTTTGAAGCCGTTCCCCCTCGTCCTATCACTCCATGCCCTTGTCAAAAGTCCCTCCCCAGCTCTCCTGGAGCCCCTTTAGGCACTGGAAGGGGCTCTGAGGTCTCCCCTTTTTCGCCTTCTCTTCTCCAGGCTGAACCCCCCCAACTCTCCCAGCCTGTCCTCCCAGCAGAGGGGCTCCAGCCCTCCCAGCATCTCCGGGGCCTCCTCCGGACTTCCCCCAACAGGTCTGTGTCCTTCAGTTATTTCTTAGAACTGATGGTGCTGAAGTTTCCATCACCATCCTCGTAATTGCTTTAGCTGGATGTGAGACTTGCTGGACCAGGCAAGACCTCTGGTGTGGTCCAGCAAGACCTCTGGCTCCTTTCTCATGGTGGCAGCTGGTGTCGGACATTTCAGAGCAAGGCACAGAACAATCCTTTCCATCTGAATGCTTTAAATTATCACGGGTCCCACAGTAACCGCTGGCCCTCTGTCACCCCTCCCTGAGCCCCCCTCTTCCCTCCTGCCTTCGTGCATTCCCCCATCTGGGTGTGCCGGTGTCCCCCATGGTGATGGTGACAACCAGTTCAGTGATGACGGGCGGTGGGGGCTGCTGCCCTGCTCGTGCCCTTCACTTGCCAGCACAAAACCACGGCCTTTCTTCTTGTCCCTGGGCAAGCCCGTGCCACTGGCACATGTCCACGGCCAGGAGCTGCCACCACCCAGGTCCTGCTAGTGCAGGCAGTCCTGGAGCATCCTGGGGACCCTGAGGACCACGAATTGTGTTTGTGGAAGCTGGTGGGCATGGCTGCTGTAGAGAACCCAAACCTGGATAAATGTCTCCCACTGTTGGAAGAAAATAACTTGCACCTTTTTTTTTTTTTTTTAATGCTGCTGTGTTTATTTTTCTGTGTAAACCAATCTGAGTATCTTAATATAACTGCAGAGTGTCACTGCAAGTTTTTGCCTGATGTGGTGGCCACCGGCCACCTGCCTGCAGTGGTCCATAAGCCAAGAGTGCCTGCGGGGTTGGCCCATCCTTCTCTTCCTTGGGATGCCATCTAGGGCTAGTAACAATTTAAAAATAAATCAAAAAGTGCTTAGATGGGGGTGAAAATTGATTCAGGAACATTGCAATCCCCTTCCTGGCTGGTGGCATCTGTGTTGACGTCGGGGGGGACTCACAGCCAGGAGCCACCCCGGGAGGGTGAGTAGCCACTGTCGCTCCTGCCTGTGTCCCCAGGGCCGAGGGTGTCCCCATCCCGAGTGGTTATGTAGTGCTGTGTTTATGGCACCTTCTTGGAAGTGGCTGGGATGTAATGGTTTAAGGGAGCTGCAAGACACGTCTGTTGGAGGTCGTGCAATACTGGTGTTCTTAGGACTACCTGAACATGAGCTAACCCAAGTAATGGTTCTCATTTCTTGATAATGCTGTCTCAAGCATCGTGCTTTCTGGGTTTGGTTTTCTTTCTTGTTGGGTTTGTTGTTGTTGTTGTTGTTTTTTAATCCTCTGCTGTGGTTTCTTTGAGGGTTTGTAAGAGTGTAAATTGCCTGGGAAGACGCAGCTCTTTATGGGCTCGCTGTAATCCTGGGTCAAGTGTGCCGAAATCGCTGTAATTTGTATCTAATGGATGACATGGCTTGAGAGCCCTTTTATAACTGGAGCGAGGAGGGGAAGGTGTCCTGGGCACGGCCGGGTGCCTTTGGCCCTCTTCTCCGAGAGGGAGAACCATCCTTTTCGGCCGTCCCTTGGGCTGAGCAGCCTGGTGAGAGCTGGGGGACCGTGCCTGGCACAGAAGGGGCAGAGGCTTTTGCCAAAGCCGGCATGTTTTGGAGGATGCTGACAGCACATCCTACCGTTGCGTTGCCTTCCTCTGTTGGCTCTCCGTGGGCTGTAGGTAGGGTGCTGGTGGGGAGCTGGTGGAGCTGCTTTTCCTCCCTGAACCTGCCCTGCCTTGTTGGCCCCTGCGCTTTTGGGCTCCTTCCAGCCCTTTCCCGATGGCTTTACCTCGTGTTTCCTTGCTGCCCTTGCTTGTTTTTTCCCAA